TTTTAGCCAAGTGGGTAAAGAAGAACGCAGCGGAAGAGCCTCCGGCTCCACTCCATCCCTCAGTCCACGAGTGGTGACTGTGCTTCTGCTAGGCAAACCCAAATCATGCAGAGAAATGGAGCAGAGAGGGAGAGTAGATCTACAGGAGCTCCTCCAGGAGGAGAGAGGGGTAGAAAGAAGGAAGGAGAGGTGGAGGGGTCCACTTTGAGACTGTAGGGTGACGGAGAAGCCCAGGACACCATCTTTGGGCCTAGTGGGGGAAGCCCCATCCTCAGCTGAAAATCCAGACACCAGGTCAACCCCTGGAAGTCACAAGACTGAGCTGAGAAGGAAATGAAAAGCTTTCCCAGACAGAGGGACATGGTTGTCCCTGGCACTCATTCTCCCATTCTCTTTCATCTGTCTCAGTCAATAGATGTTGATTGAATTCCTGCTCTGAGCCAGGCCCTGTCCCAAGTTCTGGGAGTTCTGTGAGGACCAAGCCAAGGGGCTGGGGAGGGGGGCAGTGGGGAGCTGGTGCCCAACAGATGAGACAGGGCTGAGGAGACACAGCCAGGCTGGGTGGGCTTGTGGTCTAGAATCCCTGTGCTTAGCGTCAGGAATCTGCGTCCACTCCTAGGCTGCCGTGACTGCTCCTTTTTCATCTTATTTTTCGTTTAGATTCCCACGGTAATAATCAGTTCTTGTGTCAGCCTCAACTGGGATTCATATTGACTTGGGTCTGGCAGGTGGAGTCACCAGTCTATTTGCATAAATGTTGGGGTTTTGTCTGGAAGAGGAAGGTGGGGTTGTTGTTTCCCTTTACAGAGGTTTCTGGGGGGAAACTGAGGTGCAGAAGAAACTGGGATTTGGGGAGAGACAAGTGCTGTTTTGTAGTCCTTACGAAGAGAGTGACTTTCCCCCCACCTCCGTGAATGATCCCCTGTGCCTTTGGCCAAGTGGGAACTGGAGTGAACACAGAAACCACTTTGATGCCTCTAGGAAGTGATTCTTGTAAAAACCAGGAATCAGTGCCCTTGGCATAGGGGTATCAACTTTGTGAAGAAGGAGCTAAAGCGGAGGCTCCACTGAGGCCCTCAGGAGACTTTGGGGGCCTTGGATATGAATGGCCTGGGTACATTACGGGGAGGTGCCCAGGAACTCACTAAGGCCGGGCACCCTTAGAAACACTTTGTGGTGGAGGTCGGAGCATTTGTTCTATTACAGTGAAAAGGATCCAACTGCACCCATAGGTGGGAAGCTCTGGGCCAACATGAGAGCCGAAAGAGCAAATGAAACATTCCAGCTTAATCTCTGTTAGAACGATGGATGAAACTAAAAGTCACAGCAGCCAGAATGGCTTGTGAGATCAGAGGGTGTCTAGGGCAGAGGGAAGTGGGAGAGGGAAGGAGTAAGATTCTTCCTTCTAGGGCGAGGGAGGTGGAGGATGACCAAGAAAAGCTGGAAATGCCCACCTCATTCTGATGTGCCATCTGGTAGGCCATTTCCTCCCAATGCCATGTACCCAAATCCTTCCCATTCCCCAAACTGCAGTCTCAGTCCTGGCCTGTGCATATAATTTGTTCTTATGGAGAAGATTCTCTCTCTCTCTCTCTCTCTCTCTCTCTCTCTCTCTCTCTCTCTGTGTGTGTGTGTGTGTGTGTGTGTGTGTGTGTGTGTGTGTGCATGCTTTAGAGACAGGGTCTTGCTCTGTCACTCAGGCTGGAGTGCAGTGACACCATCATGGCCTGCTACTACAGCCTTGACCTCCTGGGCTTACGAGTTAAGAAAGCCCCCTGTTTCAGTCTCCCTAGTAGCTGGGGCTACAGTTGTGGACCACCATGCCTGGCTAATTTTTCAATTTTTTGTAAAGACAGGGTCTCACTATGTTGCCAGGCTGGTCCTGAATTCCTAGGCTCAAGTGATCCTCCCACCTAAGCCCCGTAAAGTGCTGGGATTACAGGCGTGAGCCACTGCACTTGGCAAGACTCTGTTGTATATACATATTACTGTGCTATGTACCTATGAGACTTTAGAAAACACAGCCGGGGAAATGGGTCCCTCCAACCTGAATGTGGGATCTAGGAGGCACACAATGACCTCTGCTACAATCCACCTCTTGCGTCACTCAGATCCACTTCTTACTTATACTTAGTAAGTTAATCCCATCAGTGAACAGCTTCTCTGGGATTCTGGGTGGCCTCCTTTCCTGGAGAAGCCTGCAAGAGGACAGCTAGTGGGATGAAGGATGAACGGCAGCCTCTACTGCTACAGCTGACCTCAAAGCTATAGCTGGTTTTCATCATCTGCCTCCCCTACTACCCATTCTAGATTCCCTCACCCTTGGCTAGCACACCTCTCCTGGTCTAAGTAGTTCACCTGTGGGGTGACCCACACCTTTATCTCTGAGAAATGTGCATGCTTTGTTACCATGTCCTTCTCAAGCCTTGGCTGCTGCACCTGTTCATTTACCATCAAAATTGGGCAGGAGATCATATGTGTAAAAGAAGTAGAGGAAGAATAAACCAGAGGCTAATGAGATGGTTACCTACAAGAGGTATATGAGAACTGGTAGAAACAGTGGGAGAGTTGCCAGATGTGGTGGCTCACATCTGTAATCCCAGCACTTTGGGAGGCCAAGGCAAGAGGATCACTTGAGGCCAGGAGTTTGAGACCAGCCTGGCCAACATAGCAAGACCTTGTCTCTACGAAACATATTTAAAAATTAGCTGGATGCGGTGGTGCACCTGGAAGACACCATCTTAATCAAGTGATCACAGTTCACATCCCCAGCAATAAAACACGGCGACGTCCCAGACCCCCTGCTGCAGTGTACCAAGAAGTGCACAGTCTCACCCCCATGGCATTCTTACCAAATACACAGTCTCAATCTGATCATGAGGAAATATCGTAGAAACTCAAGCTGAGGAACATTCTATGAAATAACTGCCAGGACTGTTCAAAAATATCGTCATGAAAAATGAAGAAAGGCTGAGAAACTGCTCCATAGTGGAGGAGATGAAGGGGACATGACAAGAATGCTCCATAGGCTGCTAGAATGGATTCTGGAACAGAAAGGACATCAGTGGGAAAATGAGAAAATCAGACTGGATCTGTAAGTCTGTTAATAGTATTATGTCAATGTTATTTTCCTTAATTTTTTGTTTGTCTTTTTTTTTCTTTGGTGGGTTTGAGTTTTTTGGTTCTGTTTGTTTGTTTGTTTGAGTCAGGGTCCTGCTCTGTTGCCCAGGCTGGAGTGCAGTGGGGCAATCGTGGCTCTCCTGGGCTCAAGTGATCCTCCCACCTCAACCACCCAAGTAGCTGGGGCTACAGGCATGTGCCACCACACCTGGCTAATTTAAAAAATTTTTATAGATACGGGGTTTTGCTATGTTGCCCAGGCTGGTCTCAAATTCCCAGGCTCAAACAGTCCTCCTGCCTCAGCCTTCCAAAGTGCCGGGATTATGGGTATGAGCCACTGCACCTGGCCAATGTTATTTTCCTGCTTTTGATCATTGTTCCGTGGTCAGATCAGCTTTTGCTGGGAGTGGGAAATGGAAGTATCCTTGTGCTGAAGAGACAGGCACGCCCCCCACCTCACCACACTGTACTAGGCAGGGTTATACATAGCACTGGTTACCATGGCAGAGAACAGGAGATAAGTCTTCCAAGACACACAAGACAATATGAAACAATTCTCTAATGAGCACCCAACCCCTGCCCCAAGGTTCTCACAGAGATTAGCAAGCAAGTTGCTCCCCCATGAGACAGGAATCTGCCACAAGGAGGTTACTTAATCTTGACTTCAGAGTCAAAAAAGATACATGAAACAATTGATAGAGTTGATTGCATAAGTACTCAAATCTTCTGGGTAGAAAAATACACCATAAATAAAATTAGCCACAAATGGGAAAGGAGAAATATTTGCAACCTATACCAAAGTATAAATAGCCTTATTATACAAGAAACTCTTAAAAACCAAAAATCAAAAGATGAACACAATTTTTAAAAGGGCAAAAGACATGAGCAAACATTTCACAAAGAAATACCAATGGTCTGAGACGAAAAAATACGATCTCATCACACAAATGCAAATTAAATCAATGAGATAGCGTATTTTATCTATCTGATTATAAATCATCAAAAAAAGTGTTAACACCTGGTGTGAGAGAGAAGGTAAGGAAACTGGCACTTCCATATATGGTCATAAGTAATTTGATAAAATCTTCCTGGAAGGCCACTTGACAATTTGCAATAAAAACCCTCAAAATGTGCATACATTTTGACCTAGCCATTCCAATTCAGTCATTTATTCTAAGAAAATTATTATACATGCAAAGATATAAGGAAGTGAATTATATTGTTGCTTACAATAGCAGAATGAGAGGTTCTATCTAAATGTCCAAGTGAAGGAACCCCAGACAACGCTGACCAAATCCTCAAAATCAACAAGAAGAAATGAAGAGATGTTTGAAAGAAAAGATTTGCCTACGGTGGGTAATTGCCTTAAAGTGAAAGGATTATGGCGGAGTCTATTACTGAATTTTTTTTTGTTTTTTTTATCCCTTGAGGAAATCATGACTAAATGTCTTGTTGGATGGATTACACTGTAATTTGACCATTAGTGCATAAAACTCTATCCACCCCCACCTGATCTCAGGTATGGATGAAAAATGTTCTCCTCTGGCTGTCTGTTACTTGAACAAAAGCAAGATTAATTACTTGTGTTCCTTCTTTCAGAAAGAGATACACACTTAGCTTTGAATGAAATGTACATATGTTTCTAGTTGCCAGCTCTTAAGTAATTCTGAAGTAATTCTTAAGTTAAAAGCATAAAAGGTTTTAAGTTAAAACCATCTTAAGTTAAAAGTTTTAAGTTAAATACATTGATCTTCAGATCAATTTTATTAGATGCACTCTTCTATACAAATTAAATTGATACCAAATCTTACATAGAATTTTCTTGTTTTTAATAAGGACTGATGACAGTTCCAGGCAGGGGTCTGGGGAGCGCAGCAGCCATGGCCAGCCACCTTGTGCTCAACAATGGCGCCAAGATGCGCATCCTGGGGCTGGGCACCTGGAAGTCCCCTCCAGGCCAGGTGACTGAGGCCGTGAAGGTGGCCATCAGCGTCGGGTACCACCACATTGACTGTGCCCACGTGTACCAGAATGAGAATGAGGTGGGGGTGGCCATTCAGGAGAAGCTCAGGGAGCAGGTGAAGCGCGAGGAGCGCTTCATCATTAGTAAGCTGTGGTGCACGTACCATGGGAAGGGTCTGGCGAAAGGAGCCTGCTAGAAGACCCTCAGCGGCCTGAAGCTGGACTACCTGTACCTCTACCTTATTCACTGGCTGACTGACTTTAAGCCTGGGAAGGAATTTTTCCCATTGGATGAGTCGGGCATTGTGGTTCCCGGTGACACCAACATTCTGGACACATGGGCGGCCATGGAAGAGCTGGTAGATGAAGGGCTGGTGAAAGCTATTGGCATCTCCAACTTCAACCATCTCCAGGTGGAGAGGCTCTTAAACAAACCTGGCTTAAAGTATAAGCCTGTAGTTAACCAGACTGAGTGCCACCTGTACCTCACTCAGAAGAAGTTAATCCAGTACTGCCAGTCCAAAGGCATCGTGGTGACCGCCTACAGCCCCCTCGGCACTCCCGACAGGCCCTGGGCCAACCCTGAGGAGGCTTCCCTCCTGGGGGATCCCAGGATCAAGGCGATTGCAGCCAACCACAATAAAAAAAAAAACAAAAAAAACAGCCCAGGTCCTGATCCGGTTCCCCATGCAGAGGAATTTGGTGGTGATCCCCAAGTCTGTGACACCAGAACTCATTGCTGACAACTTTAAGGTCTTTGACTTTGAACTGAGCAGCCAGGATATGACCGCCTTACTCAGCTACAACAGGAACTGGAGGGTCTGTGCCTTGGTGAGGTGTGCCTCCTACAAGGATTACCCCTTCCATGGAGAGTTTTGAAGCTGTGGATGCCTGCTCGTCCCTAAGTGACCTATACCTGTGTTTCCTGCCTCATTTTTTTTCCTTGCAAATGTAGTATGGCCTGTGTCACTCAGCAGTGGGATAGCAACCTGTAGAGTGGCCAGCGAGGGCGTGTCTAGCTTGATGTTGGATCTGAAGAGCCCTGTCAGAGTAGGAGTCTCTTCCAGTTTGTTTTGTCCTCCTTTTTGCCCCTCTGGGGAAAGTACAACCTGAATACCCTTTTCTGACCAAAGAGAAGCAAAATCTACCAGGTCAAAATAGTGCCACTAACAGTTGAGTTTTGGCTGCTTGGAACTGTAATCCTTTCAGCAAGACTTCTCTTTGCCTCAGATAAAAAGTATTTTTGTGGAAAAAAAATAAGGACCGACACAGTGAAGTATATGTTAAAATATAAAACATGTTTTAAAAAAGAGCTTCTTATTACAAAAAGTGTGAACAACTTTATGATAGTAACAAAAGCTTCTATTTTAAAAAGCCCTTTGTATTTATAGAAAGCATATATTTACATGTATTCTTTGTAATACTATATTTGAATGTTGTGGACTCAGAAACTTGCAAAAAATCCAAAATTACAAATACCATAGAAAATCATCATAAAAAGTCGCAGACAGGTTAAAAAGTCGCAGACAGGTAAAAATATGATGTTCATGGATGTTCACAGGTCAACAGATAAAATATAGTATATACACACAATAGAATACTATGCAACCTTAAAAAGGAAGGATATCCCATCACATGCCACAACCTGGATAAACCTTGAGTAAAATAAGCCAGACATAAAAGGACAAATACCAAACAATTTCAGTATAGGAGGTATTAACATAGTCAAATTCATAGAGGCAGTAGAATGGTGGTTACCAGGGTCTGGGACAGGAGAGAAATGGGGAATCGTTTAGTGGGTACAGAGTTTCAGTTCTGCAAGATGAAAAGGTTCTGGAGTTCTGCTTCACAACAATATAAATACACTTAACACTACTGAACTGTATACTTAAAAATAGCTAAGATGGTACATCTTATGGTATGTGTTTTTACCGCTATCAGATGAATGAATGAGTGAATAGCTTTAGTTAAAAAAAAAAAAAAAAGGTTACAGGTGACGCTGAGTTCTGTGGCTAATAGAGGAGCTATTCGTTCATTCATTTCTGATAGCCATAATCCATCTTCTGTGTGATAGGCACTTTGCTAAATGTTGGAGTTAAATGATAATTAAGAAATGATCCCATTTGTCTAAGTGTTTTCCATCTAGTTGGAGAGAGAGAGAAGTAACAGTGTAAGAAATGTTCCACGTAGTGGGAATAAGTACTGGGTGCTGGGAAAATACAAAGTGGGGCTGTTTCATGTGGTCTTGGAGTGGGGGAAGGAGTGGTAGGGTGGTCACTCGCGTCTTCTTGCTGGAGTACTGAAGGTGAGTAGCAGCTAACCAGGCAAACATGCGGAATGAAAGACCAGGTGAAGGCATAGTGAGGATGCCAGAGGCAGGGAAAGGCTTGGTGTGACCAGGGTTTGGGATTGGAAAGGTCTCACGAGATTGAGGAGAGTGGAGGCAGAGGCCTTGTCAAGGAGTTTGGATCTTGAGATCAACAAGAAGTCATGAAAGCTTTAAGGAGGGGAATCATATATCCAAATTTGCATCTTAAAAGGATTATTCTGGCTTCTATGGTGAGAAACAGTTTGGAGGAGAGCAAGACTGGAGACAGGAATATTAGTAAAGAATTAACAGTAAGGAATTGACCGGCGGCCCTTTAAGTAGGCTGAGAAATGAATGAGAGAAGAAACAATGAGTTAGACAACTTTTTGTAGAAGTGTAGCTTTGAACAAGAGGAGATAGCAAGATGGCTGCAGGAGAATCTGGAGCCTGAAGTTGTGTGTGTGAACGTGTGTGTTCGAGTGGGAGGGACAGGCATGTTTAAACACAGACAGGGAGGACAGAGTCAAGCTGTATCCTAAGGGCATGGGAGGAAACCAGATCTCACTCAATAGAGCTTACTTTAGGTTGGGAGGAAGAGAGAGGGCAGGACTCCACTCTTATTTTAATAATAGGGAAAGAAACAGATGGATTTAAGTGTAAGTTTGTAGGTTTGCCATTAGAAAGTTAAGGGGTTTCTATATCATGGGATTTGCTCTGTAAAACAGAAGGAAAGCTCATCCTGGAGGAGGAAATGGAGAGATGGTGGTTTACAGAGAGAGTTAAGTGTGAAATGAGAGCTAAAAAGAATAGTAGAAAGAATGAGCTGACCCTGGGCCAGTCATGGTGACTCACACCTATAATGCCAGCACTTTGGGAGGCTGAGGCGGGCAGATCACTTGAGGTCAGGAGTTTGAGACCAGCCTGGCCAACTTGGTGAAACCCTGTCTCTACTAAAATTACAAAATTTATCCCGGTGTGGTGGCAGGCACCTGTAATCCCAGCTACTTGGGAGGCTGAGGCAGGAGAATCACTTGAACCCAGGAGGCAGAGTTTGCAGTGAGCAGAGATCATGCCACTGCACTCCAACCTGGGCAACAAAGTGAGACTCCCTCAAAAAAAAAAAAAAAAAAAAAAAGAGCCGACCCCAAAAAAGTGAGACTTCAGGGCAGCATGGGGCTGGAGATAGAATTCTGTCCAGCATATTTGTGTGGTTGTTTCTAGGAACTCTACCATCAAAGATATTTCCGGAATCTGACTTATGAGCTTTGCCTGGTCTAGGCCAGTGCATCTAGATTTGAAAGGCTTGGGGAAAAAAACTATGAAGAGACACTGTTCTAGCACAACTCTAAATATAGTAGTAAGTGATAATTATTAAAAGAATGTGATATTGGCCCAAGAGTTGACAAATAAACCAGTGGAACAGAACAGACAGCCCCAAAGCACAGACAGTTACATGTGGTAATGTACAGGATAAAAATCTGGCCCTTTAAATTACTGGGGGAAGAAAGGCTTAGTCAATAAATGGTAAAGCGACAATTTGCTGTTGTTAGACACCTGCTATGCACTGTGCATGAAAATAAGGTCTGAATGAAAATTAAGATCTAAGTATTTAAAAAGCCCTTTTTATATCATTACAGGGAAATATTTTTATAAACTTGGGTTAGAGAAAGTTGTAGTAATTATTTCATGAGACGTAGGAACCAAAAAAGAACAATCAACATATTTGACCACCTAAAATTAAAAAGTAGGCCAGGTGCGGTGGCTCCTGCCTGTAATCCCAGCACTCTGGGAGGCCAAGGCAGGCAGATCACTCAAGCCCAGGAGTTCAAGACCAGCCTGGCCAAAATAGTAAAACCCTGTCTATACAAAAAATACAAAACTTAGCCAGGGATAGTGGCGTGTGCCTATAGTCCCAGCTACTCGGAAGTCTGGGGTGGGAGGATCACCTGACCCTGGGGAGGTCGAGGCTGTAGTGAGTGGTAATCACACCAATGCATTCCAGCCAGAGACAGAGTGAGACCCAGTCTCAAAATAAAATAAAATAAAATAAAATAAAAATAATAAATAAACTCTGTGTGACCAAAAAAAAGAGTTTTTGTTGTTTTTTTTTATTACACTCTACAGCTATTTTTTTTAAAAAAGTAGAGGTCTAAGTTAAAGGGTTAAAGAATAAACTACCAAGTGCGAGAAAACATTTGTAACATCTGTAACAGGTACAGGGTTACTATTAATATATGAGCTTCTACACATGGAGTTGACCACTCTGCGTCTGTCTCCTTAATTATAAATTAAGTGGCCATATATGTGTGGATTTATTTCTAGACTCTCTGTTCTGTTACAATGGTCCGTCTACACTAGTGCTAATATCACACTCTTTTATGATAACATAATCATATGCTATGGTAAACATAATAATAAGGCTTGACATCTGGTAGTATAAATCCTCCAAATTCATTCTTCAAAATAAAAAGGGAAAAAAATTGTGATAATGTGTTGTCTCAAACGTGATGGGTATAAACTCAGATATTTGTTATGCCATTAGTATTTAACTCCTATTTTATGAATGTTGATTTATACCTGCTCAATATTTAATAATACCACAAAACTATACACCTACTAACATCAACAAAATTTTTAAAATGAAAGTTAGAAACCTGAAGAAAAAAAGGTACAAAACACATTTTTAGTGGGATACCTTAATATACCTCTCATTCTTTGACAGGCCAGAGAGAAAAATACTTAAAAATACATGAAATTGAGGGAGCCCAAATGGTGAAATAGCAGAAAAACCTTCAAAGCAGCTATTATAAACATCCTTAAAGAACTAAAGGAAACCATGCTTAAAGAATTAGAAGAAAGGATGATAACGACATATCATCAAACAGAGAACATCAAGAAAAAGATAAAATCATTTAAACAGAAACCCATAGAAATTCTAGAATTGAAAAGCAAAATTAAAAAAAATTAAAACTTCACTAGAGAGATTCAATGGCAGGTTTGAGCTGGCAGGAGCAAATCAGTGAATTTGAGGCTAGATTAATGTAGGTTATCCAATCGTAACTACAGAGAGCTAAAGAAAATGAAGAGGAGAAAGAAAAATTATCAGAGTCTCAGGAAGATATGAGATGCCATTATATGCACCAAAATACACACAAAAGAATCAGCAGGTAAAGAGGAAAGGCAGAAGCATTAATGTACTCAAAGAAACAAAGGTTGAAACTTCCCATATTTGATGAAAAACGTTAATCTACACAGCCAAGAAGCTCAACAAATTCCAAGTATGTCAAACAAAGAGATCCACATCCAGATATATTATGGTAAAGATGCTGCAAGACAAGCACAAAGACAAATCTTAGAAGTAACAGGAGCAAAAAACGTGTCACATGTAAAGAGTCCCCAGTAAGATTAACAGCAGTCTTTTCATCAGAAACAGTGGAAGCCAGAGGCAGTGGGTTGATACAGTCAAAGTGCTGAAAATAAAATTTCATCTAGCAAGAATCTTATATCCAGCAAAATTCTCTCTTAAAAATGAAGGCAGTATGGTGGCGGGTGCCTGTAGTCCCAGCTAGTCGGGAGGCTCCCAGTGAGCCAAGAGCTTGCAGTGAGCCAAGATCGCACCACTGCACTCCAGACTGGGTGACAGAGCGAGACTCTGTCTCAAAAAAAAAAAAAAAAAAAAAAAAATTAAGGCAAGATATATTCCCAGATAAACAAAACCTGAGAGAGAGAATCTGTTGATAGCACACCTACTTGACAAGAAGTGTTCAGGCAGAAAGCAAATGACTCCAGACAGTAATGTAAACATGCACACACACACACACACACACAACATACACAAACACACAACACATACATACAAAGAAGATGGGTAAAGGAAATTATGTAGAAATTACAAAAGACAGTATATAATTGTATATTTCTTCTCTCTTTCTTTTGAGACAAGGTCTAA